AACTTTTCTATATGTGTATTTGTTCAGTAATTTCAGTTGTGTCCAACTCTTCTGAGGCATACAGGGTTAAATGACTTGCCCAGGGTCACTTAGCTAGTTAAGTGTCTTCAACTCAGGTCTTCCTGACTCTAAGCCCAGTGCTCTATCCACTGCATCACCTAGCTAACCCTGTATGTGGATAATTGGGTCAAAAAAAAACAAAAGCCTCTAATGAACTATGTCTTTTTAGTGACTTGATCCCTTCATCTCAATTAACTATAATTCTTTTTGTCCTTCTGACTATTTGATTATATTTGTCTTTTGAACCAGCTTGTACCATGAGAGGGTCAGTGAGAGGGAAGTTCTGGGTTCCCTCTGAGTGGTCAGTTGAATTTAGCTTCAGTTGTAGCTGCAGTTCTGGGTCCAGAACTAGAAAGCCCAGCATTATAGAGTGGTAGGACCTGGTTGGCTATTTATTGTAGAATCTCACAGGCAGGGTAGGTTGGCTAGAGGGGTAGTGTCTGGTAGTGGAGGCGGCACTGAACTCCAAGGTTTGAATCTTATATTAATCACCTTCCAGCTATGTGACCTTGGATAATACTTTCTGCTCTCTGGGCCTCAGTTTCCTCTTCTATAGAATGGGGAGAATAAAATCGGCACTCCTTACCTCACTGGGTTGTTGGAAGTAGAGTGCTTCATAAATCTTAAAGTACTATATTTATTCCTTTGGCTATGAGACTTGCTGCTGGAGAAACCGGGTTCACTTTTACCAACTTGTTTTATGAGTCAGGAAAGCTGCTGTTTGCACAATCTCACTCACATCACCTATACTTAATAAAGAAGGGGGAAAAAGTGGATTTGGTTGTCCCTTTTTCATTGTCTGTAAAGCCTCCATGGAATTACATTTTCCCCCCAAAAGGATGCTGCAGAAGATGCATTCTGCTAGCAATTGTGTTCGTCACAAGGCTCTTGTGAAAGCTTGTTTGATGTATAGTATGAATTTCTCATATCTCCCCACCAACTGAATGTTATCAACTAAATTTCTCTATACTTCTTCCATATGTGTCTCCCACGCCTGTGACAGCACGTCTTCAAAGAAATTTCATTGTCTTTCCTACCTGCTTTTAGATGGTTGGTTTGGGGCATACGGTTGAATCAATTAACAGAGGACTTGCAGAATTCCAAGTGCAGTTATTAAAGGATAGTGTAATTAACTTCTTCAGACTAATTGAAAATTTTAATTTAGAAGGAACAGTCAAGTACCTTTCTGCTTAACTGCTTTCTCACATAAAATAACTCTCATGAAAAGGTTCTTTAATGTGCATTCACAGACACAGTACCTCTGAGGTTGCTGCTAAATTTTTAGGGAAGAATCGAGTCATTTTTCCCTCTCTTGTATTACTCCATGGAGCTAGATAGAATTTTATCTAGCAGTCAACATCAAGATGGAACTCAGAAGATGAAGATCTGGGGGAAGATTAGAGGGAGAAATAAGGAGTAACCCATTTTTGCTCACTGATTGGGTCAGTGATGAAGAAGGCAGAACGTGGATTAACTATGGAGGACTGATGAAGAAGAGGGTGAGCCAGGGATGAAGAGGGGAGAGATTGAACAGCTGTCTCTTTCAGTGAGTGAAGGAGTACGTACAGCAATTTTGTGGAATACCATAGTTATTTGAAGGAATGCAGCAAAGGGAAGGAGAAAAGACTGGAAAGAGCTCTGGATTTGGAAACAGAAAATCAAGTTCAAATTCTGGCTCAGTCCTTTTGGGACTTGTCCCTAGCTTCATCTTTAAAAGGCTCAGGTTGTAAACAGATTTAATGTAACGTTCTTTCCAGTTCTAAAACAAACAACCCGGCAAAATACCAGCCTAAGGAACAGCTGGTTGACACATAAGTTTTTAAATAAACGCTAGGTAAGTTAAGTTTTCAGCCTCAGTGCTGTAGGCAAACTATGAATGAATGAATGAATAAATAAAAATTCTTTCTTAGGCATTTGTTATGTGCCAAGTATGGTGCTGAGTTCTGAGGATACTAATAGAAAAATTGAGACAGTCCCTTCTCTCAAGGAGACCCACTCTAACTGGGGGTGATTACACATGAAAGAAGGGCAACAAGGTGGCTTACTGCTGGATCTGGAGTCAGGAAAATCCAGTTCAAATCTGGTCTCAGACACTTACCAGCTGTGTGACTCTGGACAAGTTACTTCACCCTGTATGCCTCAGTTTCCTCTTCTGTAAAATGAGCTAGGAAGACAATGGCAACCAGTTCAGTATCTTTGCCAAAAAAACATCAGATGGGGTCATGAAGAATCAGACACAACAGAAAAGCAACTGAACACACGTGAAAGAAAGCTTAGCTGCAGGACAGATGGAAAGGCCTGGGGGTGGGGTAGGGTGAATGGTAAGGTCCCTGCTTAAGGTGAATTGGCAGGTAAGACTGCAAGGGTTGGAGGCCTGCAGTAAGTAGAAGCAGGCCAGCAGGACCTTAGGACATAGTGGGTGAAAAGTTGGTGTAGTGGTTTTGCATCTCATCATAAAGGTGGTATTTGAGGTGCCCAACTTATCCGAGTGATGTGAGCATCCATAATGCTCTTTCTGCAAAAAAAAAAAACTAGCCCATGGAGTCTGGATAGGAAAGGGGTGGGAGAAAGGGAAGATGGAAGATCTTCCTACCTAGCCACCTTGATGGGGTCTCTAGGTAAACCACTTTCTACTTTCAGAAGGAGAAGAGAGGACTTATGAGATGTTTAGAAGTGGTTCTAGAAAGCGTAAGAAAGTAAAGAGCTTGGGGAAGAAATCAGTCAGTATATATTTATTAGGTACCTACTATGTTCCAGGTACTATGCCAAGCACTGGGGATGCAAAAACAGAAGTGAAAAATCACTACCCCCCAGGTACTAACATTCTACCAGGAGAGAAAACATGCATATACGTATATAAGTACATATAAAACAGATACAAGATAACCTGGTTGGCGGGGGGAATCTAGAAAATTGGGGAACCAGGAAAGGCCTCATGTACAAGGTGGTGCTTGAACTGAGTTGTGAAGGAAACTAGGGATTACAAGAGGTGGAGAAGAGGAGAACCTTTCAGGTTTCAAGTTCATCCAGAGAGGAGAGGGAGTGTCATGTGTGAAGAATAGTCAGAAGGCCAACTGAAGATGCAAGAGAGTGTTTTGAGAGACTGCTCTACATCATCCTCTAATTAGCAAACTAGTACTTGATGTTAGTAAGCAGAAAGCACTGGGGTTGGGAGCCAATTTCTGCCCTTTGTAGCAGGATCAGTAGTCATAACTGGATATGTTTGGTTATACTCTTGCCTGGCAAGGAGTGGACTAAAGTCCCTTCAAACCTTTCCAATCCTCTGAATATCTCTCCCCCCACTCTCTCCCTCACTCTGTCTCTCTCTCCTTCTCTCTCAGTCATTAATAGTTGGCTGTTCTTGTCATTGGTTTGAACAAGAAAGTCCAAAGGTGATCCATTTATGCAGGAACAACCCAGTTCCTCTTTGAAGCATGTGACTAAATGGATGTAGTATCACAGTATGGCAGAGCTGGAAGAACCCTGGGAGAACATCTAGTCCAATCCTTGTCTTTTACCCACAAAACAAAACCAGAAGGCCCTAGCAGTTGAGATGTGTCCCAGATTACAGAAGTAGCTAGGCACCAGAGCTGAGACGAATAAGTTAGGTTCTCTCTATCTCCTGGAAATTAGAGTTGGAAGAGGTTATCTAGTACTCTTCCTCTCTGGATAATCCTTCCCACCATTTTACAGATAAGACTCAGGAATGTTAAGTATCTTGTCCTGGATTCAGATCAAGTGACTTCAATCAACTTTCTGTACTGAAGATCACAAGAGGCCTTTAAATCTAACTTTCCTATCAAAGGCCACCAACTTTCCCAGAGTCATTCAGATGGAGGTTTCATTAAGATAAAATGAAAAGTTTGCACCTTTCAGATCTAGTGCCCCGTTATTTTATAATACATTTTCAACCTTGCCTTTATGGATTATTATTTATCATTTATTAATACTGTTTGAACCTAGCTTTATGTGGCTAAAAATTGTTTAACCCAAAAAGCTTACTGTAGAAGTCAGGCTGACCTCAGAGATGATCCAGGGAAGCTAGATGGTTGTGAGGGATGTTTAGGTCTCACCCAGTAATATGGAAGGTGGAAGTGGGGGAATATTTAGGGAGAATGATAGCGAGTTCAGTTTTGGCCACATTGAGTTTAAGATTGGACATTCTATTGGAGATTCCTGAAAAGCAGATATGAGCTTGGAGATCATCAGAGAGTTTGAGGGCAGGAGAGGTAGATTTGAGAATCTGAAAATCTATAGCATAGAGAAGGTAATTAGATCCATGGGAGCTGATGAGATCACCAAGTGAAGTAGTATAGAAGGAGAAGAGAAGAGGGCTCAGAACTGAACCCTGAGTAACATTTATGGTTTGAGGGCTTCATATGGAGAAGGATCCAGTAAAGGAGACAGAGAAGGAGGAGAAACAGGAAAGAGTGATGTCCAAAAAACCTAGACAAAAGAGGGTATTGAGAAGGAGAGGGTGATCAACAGTGTCAAAGGCTACAGAGAGGTCAAGGAGAATGAGGATAGAGAAAAGACCATTGGATTTGGCAGCTATGAGATCAACGGTAACCTGGGAGAGAACAGTGTTGGTGGAACGAATTGAATTGACTGGAAAGCAATTAGTTTCATTCTCCAATTAGAATCCTTTCCTATGTACTCAGGACCTTGTTTCAGCAGTGCCTGCCATTTCCTAGTGTTTCTGTGGTTAATCATATGCTAGTCAATAGCTCTTTGCTTTTTATTTTGAGGAAGTAAGGAAAAACAGCACTAAGTAAAGTAAACACAACCTTAACCTTTTCTTCTTTCTCTCTCTTATCTTGCCCTGGAAGGAAGGAGGAACAAAAAACATTTTTTCCCCCTGAGCTACCTCATAAAAGAGGAGCAGCTAATAAATACTACCAGCTGTTCGATTTCACTGGAGAGCAGGAAAGAGTGAGGCTGCTGTAAAAGCAGGGGCAGTTCATGAATATTAACTCATTACTTTTAAAGGGGCCCTCCTCGTAGATTCCCAGGCTACTGTCATGGAGGATAATTCCAGGGTGCAGAGCAATGCCATGCCTCAGGTAAGGTTCTGTTCATTTTCCATGACAGCTGGCCAGGATTTCCTCCTGGGTGGAGAATTGGTACTGTCACAGCCCTCCCTCCTCCACTCCACTTAGGGTTGTTGCCATCCTTTAAGAATCCACGTAGGGGCCAGCTTCTTCAACTTAGGTGCCTTCCTCAATTCCCTCAGTTATGGGTATTGTCTATTTCCTCAACCTACCTTGCATTTACATCTCTGTGAGCATGTTGTATTTGCTGTCCCTCCCTGACTCACAGAATGTAAACTCCTTGAGGGCAGGAATGGTTTTGTTTTTGTCTTTTTTAGCTGCTGTGCCTAGTATAGAGTAATCACTTCATGTTTGTTGAATTGGATTTCTTACAGACTTCTCTATGCCTTTCGTAGAATTATTGTAGGAAAAAAACCACTTTAGAATATGTAGGGGTTTGAAGTGGACCTCAAGATCTTTGGATCTAGAATGGGAAAAGACCTTAGATATCAATTTACATTTTACTTATGAGGGTCAGAGAGGTCCCCCTGAAGGTCCCATATCAAGTACCCCCGTTCCAAATTAATTGCTCATTCCACTATGTAAACTTGTCCCCATTTTATAGATGAGGAAGTCAAAGCTATGAGAGGTTAAGATCATCGTAGTATAGTAAAAAGAGCATTAAACAAGGAGTCTGGAGAACAGATTCTAGCCACTAATTAGCAGTATGATCTTGAGTAATTAATTCACTCAACCTCATTGGGTGTTAGTCTCAGAGCTGGGAATTGAACCTATGACTTAGCAAACAAGACCAGTACTCCTTTCACTTTACCTTGCTGCCTCTTGATGAGCTCCCAGGGCCCTTTCAGCCTTAGGGTAACCTGTTGTAGGATTCTCTAGTCTAGTGTAGGTGACACATTACATTTTCTGGCCAGGCAACAGAGAGAAATTATGCGAGAATTTTGTATCCTTGGTAATATATTTTCCTACAGTAATGGAAAACACTGAATTTAATTTATCTTAGCATATGTTATCTCTGCCTCTTCTTTTGGTCTGGAAATGGGGGAGCCAGATCCTGGACTGAGAAAGGAGACCATTCTAGACAGGTTTGTGACAGTTGGTACCAAGTGAAAATGATTAACAGTAATAAACCCAAACTTTCCTTAGTGATCTAATGAAGCCCAGGGGAGCAGCAAGTGCTTAGTATTTGGGAGGATTTGTGATGAGCAATGTAATTGATCACAGAAAGATTGAGCCATTTAGCTTGCAGTTGGCAAATTATTCACAGTAAGAACACTTGATCTGTACTTAAAGTGCATGAAACTGGTGGCACTATTCATACAACAGCCCAGCCCAGTTGTGGGAGGCCCAGGTGGAAAAGGGACCTGTTACTGACAGAGCAAAGACAGAGAGAAGAGTTTCCAGAGTCCAAATTTTAGTCTATTTCTAGAATTTACATATATATATGCATGTGTATGTGTGTATGTATATAGGTTCATGACATGTATGTGTACATGTATATGCATCTGTATAGATGTATGTATATATGTATATTTTGGTGTATATATATATATGTATACATACAAGGGTCTGCCTTTTTCTGATTTTGGCAAATTTATAGATTGTAAGGGTCAAGGACAGATACAATGTTAGACTTTGAGTAGGTGATTTGTAAAGCAGAAAATCAGTAGAGACGATGGACTTGTCTCAGCATTTTGTTTCCCAGTTGCTTATTTGTATAAAACCAACAGGAGAAGCTTAGAATTTAAAATACTGAGGAATGCTAAACCCCAGGGCTATTAGGCAATTATTGAGCAAATGGCCATAAGCCTTCGAGATGATGATTTGGGAAATGTACTAGCTCATCACTATAATTTAAAGTGAGTGAGGTCTCACACTGAGGTGACCCAGCTCTGGACTAGAAAGGATAGTCAAAGAAAATAATAGGCTGTCCCCTCTGCATTTTCATCTGTTGCCTTGGAAGTGAAACCACCACCACCTCAAAGCCTAGTGGAGGAAGCAAAACTGGAGACTTTAGCCAATCCTTGTCTGCCCTTTTTGAAAGAGCTCAATACTACCCCAACTGAGTGGGGTGTACCCAGAGAGAGGTTTGATGTGTATATTTAGATACATTTGTTCAATGAACTTGTCAAGTTTTGTAATCAGAGATATGATGTTGCATAGGAGAATCCTTTCCTCTCCTCTGTTCTCTTCTTCTCTTTCTTCTTCTTTCGTTATTTTTCTCTCTTCTTTCCTCCTCTCCTGCCTTTTGTTTTCCTCTCCTCTTTCCTCTTCTCCTATCCTTTGTTTTTCTCTCCTTTCTTCTCTTCTCCTCTCCTCTCCTCTATTCTCTTTTCTTCTTTCTCTCTATAAATTCCTCTTTCTTTGTGCCTTCCTTTTTTATTTTATTTTCCAAATTCATCTTTTTCTTTTTTTAATTCTCTCTTCCTTTCCTGTCCACAAGTAAATTTCCTTCTGCTGTCACCTGGATAACTTAGGCTGGGTTGACATGACTAGATTTTATGGGTTATTGAGGCTGAAAAAAAGGCACCTGGGTTTTAGCTATCTGGATGTTTCTGGGAAATGTACACTTTTCTTACGTGAATTGACTAACTTCCATGGTTCCGTAAAAATTTGAGTTGGTGGCTGTTTTGAGTCATCTGTCTCATTTCAACTTTTGGCTTTGACCATCACCTACAGAAGTGGGTGAGACTTATTCTGAATACTGTAGGAGTAAATGACATGATGTTTAGTGAATAATAAGATATTTAATTTCCAACTTTAGAACTTAAAATCTTAAAAATGAAGTATCTTAAAACTTAGAGGAGTGGCTATTGTGGGACATTAATTTAGTTGAATATGCTGATTCCATTGGCTCATTTTTTCAATAGGTTTGCAAATTAATCTAGAGTTACTTTACATGTTGTTTATTAATGATTAATTAATCAATAAGCATTAAGCTAATTTATTTTGTCTCCTTAGCTCAATTAATCAAGGCTGGTATGAAACTAATGAGGCTAAAGTTTCATGTATTACATACACATGTTGTTTCCCCAGAGAGACTATAAACTCCATGAAGTCAGAAACTGGGTCATTTTTGCCTTTGTCACAAGGGCCCACCAGAGTATCTGGCACATAGGAAGTATTTAATAAATGCTTATTGATTGATTGGCATAGAGACCAGTCAGCTTTGTAGTCTCAAGGTAGCCCTTTGTCACAAGGTATATTGGGCCCCAGGGTAGGGATGTATTAGCCTGATGTAGTCCCGCTAGTAGTAAGAAACAACTGAGAATTATTCATTAGAATTATATTTCTAGAAGTACTTAACTTTTTTGTACTAATATATATGTATATATATATATACATATATATATATATATATTCTATTTACAGAAGTTAGGCTTACTATTTTATAATCTCCTAGGGAATACTGGAAAGGTACCTGAAAATGAGAGAGCTCACATTATGACTTTAATAGCTTTCAAACAGGCTGTCCTGCTGCCACTCTCTTTTCCCTTTCAAATTGTGCTTTTTACTGATGCAAAATAAACTTTCTTATAAATCAATCTGGTTATATAACAAATCTTAAGTGGCTTTGCATTGCTTCTTAAGGAAAACCTTCCTTTGCCTGCCATTCGAGGGCCTCTGAAATCTTACATTGTCCTTCCTAACCAGCCTCATTCCATGTTATTATCATTTATTCTAGCCACATTGGTCACTTTCTGTACCTATGAAATACCCAGCTCTGTGCTTCTGTTCATGCTGTTCTTTGTGCCTGGAATGTATTCCTTCCGCATTGAATTTCGTTAAAACCTGTTTCAAATGCTCTCTCCTCTGTCAAGACTTCATTGATTCCCTCCATTGGTAAGAATCCTTTGCCCATGGGCCTCCCATAATGCTTTGTTTAGCTTTTATCTAATGCATTCCTTTTATTAGAATGTAAGCTCATTGTGAGTAGTGATTGTTTAATTCTTCATATTTCTATCCCTTGCACCTACTACAATGCCTTCTACATAGTAGGCATTTTTCTTGTTGATTAATATAATGTATATTATATCAATATGTGTTAGTGTCATAGCTCCTTTAGACTAAAAGGTAAATACAGGTAGAGGCCGTGTATTAGGCTGAACTTTGTATGTTCCTCAATGATTGTCATGGGGCTTTGCACACTACTATTTGCTTTATCAGTATTTGTTGAACTGAATTGAATTTAATTGAGTTGAACTGAATGACTGTTCACAGTCCCACTGTAGTTCTCTTGGTCAGACCTACATTATGAATATCATGTTCAAGTTTGAGAAGCATATATTAAGAAGTAAATTGATAAAATGAAATTCTAGGACACTTCCAATTACATTCTAATATGATGAATGTTTTAGGTAAAGGCAAAACAAAGTGTTGTGGGAGGTCCAAGAAAGAAGACTTTTTACCAGTGGAAGGAATCAATGAAGTCTTAATAGAGGAGGGAACATTTGAAATAGATTTTAAAGGAATTTGCCAGGGAAGGAATGCATTTCAGTAAAGGGACTGAGGATTTGTTGAAGGGAATATGTATATTTAACTTGGACAGAAGACTTTGAAGGTAGAAATCCTCTCTCCTTTAATATTTGAAGGATTGTCATGTGGAAGATGGATTAGATCCAGAAGATGAAGGAAATGAAGAAGATGCTTCTCTAACCTATGTGTAGCTAGGTAGAGCAGTGGATAGAGAACTGGGCCTGGAAGTCTCAAGACCTGAGTTCAAATCTGGTCTCAGATACCTACCAACTGTGTGACCCTGGACAAGTTACTTAACCTATGTTTGCCTCAGTTTCTTCATCTGTAAAATGGGGATAATAGCATCTAACTCCCAGAATTGTTGAGAGGATCAAATGAGATAACATCTGTACAGTGCTTAGCATAGTGCCTACTACATAGAAAACACTATAGAAGTGATAGCTATTATTCAGATTGTAGAAGAGAAGATGTATGTGTGTGTGTGGATACGAGGATTGTCTTTCAAGTATTTGTATCATGGAAGAAGAATTATATTT